TTTGGGGCGGAAGTAATGGCGGCTGTGGGGGCGGTGTTGGGGGCTGCTGTTGGGGGCTGGCTTTGGGGCCGGCTTGGGAGGGCTGCTGTTCGGGGCAGCTGTTGCGGGCGACTGTTGGGGGCGGCTTTGGGGGCTGCTTTGGGGGCTGCTTTGAGGCGCACCCGCGCTCGACGCGGAGGAGCTCCGCACGGCGCTGCTTTGTGGGCGGAAAAATGGCGGCGTGGTCCAGGGCCCTGTCAGTCCACCCCGACACAAGCACCCTTGTGCCGGCAGCCCTTGTCATGCCATGCCGTCTACGCGCCCGCATGTCCGGGCCCCACACACCCACTGGACCTCCCAACCCACGCACGCCTGCCTTCCTCCCACGCCCTCCCGACCGCCGCCGGCCGCCGCCCCGCCAGGTCAGCGACCAGTGCGTCGACGCCTACCGCCTGCCGCAGCTCGTGCGCGGCTGGGAGTCGGGCATGGTGCGTTTCCTGCTGGCCCGTCTCGGCGCACGCGGCCTGCGGCCCTCGGCGCTGTACGCGGCGGACGCCGGCAGCGGCACCGCGCCGGGCGGCGGGCTGGAAGACGCCGGTCTGGCGCAGCGGCTGGCGGCCGCTGTGGCGGAGCACAGGATCCCGGTGCTCGTCGTGCACGGCGCAGGTGGGGGGCAGGCCGTTGGGCTGCTGGTTGCAACTCGACGCGATTGCCAGTACATACAGGACCCATGAATTCACAAGGCACCAGGGCCTGCGCACCGTGTGCAACTTACACACTGAATGCAGCGGCGGAGGCGGCGCCCGCCTGCTTGGCTTGCCGAGCCACCCAGAGTTTGCTCGCCATGGGCACAATGGCACACTCGCCGCCTGCCCCATGTGTCCATCGCCCCGCCCACCATCACCCTTCTATACTCTCCCACCCCCGCAACACACCATCCTCACCCCACGCCACCCCTCCCCGCCCGCACGCCCACCCCAACCCCCCAGCCGACAAGCTGGTCCCGGTCAGCAACAGCCTCCGCCTGGCGCGCATGCTGCCCGGCGCGCGCGTCGCCGTGCTCAAGCGCAGCGGCCACTGCCCGCAGGAGGAGGTCCCCGAGGGCTTTGCCCAAATCATGGGCGCCTTCCTCGGCAGCCTCGCGGCGTGAGGGCCCCGCGCCTGGCCCAAGGGCAGCTTCGATTTGCGGTCTTACAAGTGGTTGGGTAGGGAGCCCAAAGGGCGCTTCGACTGCAGGGGCAACTTCTGCCTGTGCCCCCTGTGCGCTTGCGGAGTGAAGCCTGCATCCGGCCAGACACCGGTGTTGGACCGCGCGGCCCGTGGGCGCATCAGCGTCGCGCCCTCGCAGCTGCCATCATCCGTAGATGCAGCAGCATCTGGAAGAAGAACGCGGGTAGTGGTGTTGGGGAAGGGAGCGGGTGCCATTGAGAAGGATCCATCGAGAAGGAGGGGTGACAATGCAAGGGTGGATATCCTGATAGCCGCGGGCGGCTGTGCATGCCAGGAGCCTTTTGGGGGCCCTGCGCCGTTTTTCCAGCACGCCGCCGCCACCAGGGCGAGGCGCATGGTGCGGCCTGGCACCCGTCAACGGTTCTCACAGCGTTGTGTGTGTTTTCCCAGCTGCTGCGCCGACGGCAAATCGCGTTGCCAAGCCGGTGCAAGCGTGCCATGTGCTGTTTTGTGTCCTTTGTAGGGGCGCCCTTTTGTCAACAGGCCCTTTTCACTGGCGCGCACTTCCATTGCCCTGGCGTGTGACGCCAGCGCCCGCCCCTGTTTACACCAGGCTCATACAACTCCACCTTGACTATAAACCCCATCTGTTGGCCCACCACGATCGCTGACACTGCTGTGCACGCGCGCCGCCTGGCGGCCGTCGCAACATCCACCCAAGCAATCTCATCTCGAAGAGGGACTCCCACTTTGGCACGCCTGTGCAGAGAGTTTTCGCGCTGTGCTGTGGTTGCGCTGCGCCCTTTCATACGCACGCACTACCCCAATGCCCACCCAGATTGGCGGCGCCCGTTTGTCCCTTGCTTACAAACACGTCGCCCCTTTCGATGCAGCGTGGGCCCCTTTCTGGGCCAGGCATGGTGCGCAATCAGCTTTGCCTGCCCAAGACGCCAGCACCTGGCGCCAAGGCGACAGAGCCACTGCTGTGGCCACACCTGCAAACGTGGAATGCAGGCATTCCCAAGACGACGCTGCGCTTGCGTGTGCCGCCAATTGCAGTCATGTCGACTGCACAGCTTGATCGTTGCTGAGTCACCAAGAAGAACCCTGTAAGTTGACCCCTTGTCAGCTCTGCCGCCTGCACAACGCCCCGCTGCAACTCGTAATGCCGCGTCAACATCACCACACGTGTCAAAAGCGCATATAGGTCGATACCAATACACATGGCAGAAGCCTGACAAGCTGCAACACAGCGAACCTCTCATATTCTAAGCAGCCTCCTTTGCCGGCGGAGCTGTGCGCCGGTCGGCCGGCGGCCGGAATGCGGGCACCACTGCCGCGTGGGTCTCGATGTAGGGCCCCTCCAGCAGCTGGATGCAGTAGGGTATGGATTTGAATACCTCGTCGAAAGTCTCACGAATGGACTTAGGCTTGCCGGGCAGGTTGATGACGAGGGCCTTGCCGCGGATGCCTGGGGGCGCGGGTAGGGGCAGGGGTGGGTGGGAGAGGGTCGTCCGGGATGCGGCTGGGCAGCTTGGTACATAGCAGGGCCTCAAGGCGGCAACGGCCCCAAAAAGGCTGCCCCGCAGCTCGAGCTGCGCCTGGCAAGTGCAAGGTGCCTGCAGCCGCGCAGCCGTGTGCGCAGGCTGCCCCGTCCTCACCACAGACCACGCATTGCTGCCTGCTCATCACCCTACGCCCGCGCCCACCCCCACATCCAACCCCACCCCCCCCACGCCTCCCATAACCCGGCCTGCCACGCTACCCCTCGCCCCCACCTGCGGTTTGCCGCGACAGCACCGCCGTCGGGACGTACTTCAGGCTGATCGCGCGCATCTGCTCCCCGTATCCGGGCAGCATGCGCCCGCACACCGCCTCTGTCGCCTCTGGGGTGACGTCGCGGGGCGCTGGGCCGGTGCCCCCGGTGGTCACGACGAGGCAGCAGCCCTGGTTGTCGACCTGAGGTGGCGGCAGCAATTTGGGCCTCGGGGTATTGGCCATGCTTGCGTGCGTGCGTGTTTGCGTGCGTGCGTGCGGAAGCGTGCTTTGGGCGCTGGCGCTCTGAGGGTGCATGGGGTCAACACAGCGGGGCACAGCACCTTGTTGCGCCCCCACACATCTGCGGCACTTGTGCAGTTGGCAGGCGCACATGCAGGAATGCTGCTTACAAATACAAGCATACGCACAAACAAAAGCCGTGCTTCGGCCGGGGCGCCCATGCAACCGCCTCACCATGTCTTTGATGGCCGCCTCTATGTCTGGTTGCTCATCAGGAATCACGCGGTACACCGCCTCCCACGGCGACGCCACCGCCTCTGAGAAGAAACCCAATATGGCAGGTCCGCTGAGGTCGTCATACACCCCTGCGCTGGCGCGGTCGCTGACCGTCAGCACGCCAAAGCGAGCCGCGTCGCCGACAGTGCCTGCGGCGCCACCTGACAGGGGTGGCGTATCTGTGCGAGCAGCTGCCATTGCGCGTCGACGGAGGGTATCTCTATAAGGCCTCAGACTCGTTGGTACAAGCCGTGCAGGATTGGTTGGGACCGCCGAGCTGCGAGCTCTGATCAATTGTGTTGTGTGATCTGCGATTTGGGTGACTCGAGCCCCAAATGGTCGCAGAATGTCATGTACTTATTTGCCATCATGTTGCAGGGCTTGCTCACCGTACGGGCCATGTTGACCTGGAGGACCTGCTGGGAACCTGTCCAAGCCCGAAGCCCCTCCATTCAACCCGCATCGTTTTGACCCCGGCTGGACTGGTCGACACAAATCGTATCAAAGCACTACTTCAGTGTCTTGTAGAATTACGATCGGCTCGGCGCACGCAAGATCGCAATATTGCACCGTAGCAGCGCACGCGAGCGCCCATCACCATGTTCTCCCGGCTCTTTGGAGGGGGCAACAAGGGCCCCACGGTGCCGCAGCCGGACAAAAACTCGGCGAGCGCGGCAACCATCGACGCAATGCAGGCGAGTGCCCTGCTTCAACGCTGCATGGACGCGTACGACCTCCTGGTTGCTGCAACAGACCGCACACGTTGTCCTGGAGCTTCTCGAGGGCTTCAAGACTCGATGCCCTTGCCGCAGGCCAACTGTCGCTGCCCCCGCCTGTGCCGACTCGACGCACCGCCCCCGACCTTGCACGCTGCTGCAGGCCCTAGGGGAGCGCGAGGAGCAGCTAGAGAAGAAGAAGCTACTCCTAGAGCGCAAGATCAACGACGAGGTGTGCCCTCTTGCTGCGACTGAGCTGCCGGCCTGACGTCAGCTCGTGACGGTGGTCGGCCCCCATGAGGGGGGGCGCGCAGGGCTCGTTTGCATGTCCGAGAACGCGTGACCGCTGACGCGCCCTCCTATGCGGACCTGACGCGCAGATGGACAAGGCGCGCGAGTTCACCAAGCAGAAGAAGAAGAGCCAGGCGCTGATGTGCCTCAAGAAGAAGAAGATGTACGAGCAGCAGCTGGAGCGCCTCGACGCCTTGGTCAGCAGGTGTGTGCGCGCGCGCGCGTGTGTGCGTGCATGTGTGTTTGTGTGTGTGTGTGTGTGTGTGTGTGTTTGTGTGTGTGTGTGTTGGGGGGAGGGGTGGGCGGGGGCCACTTGGGACCAGCGGGGGCCGCGCTGCGGGCGGCACAGGGCTCGCGCGGCGGCTGCGAGGCCGCGCCGCCCCGGCCGCTGCTGCAACGAGCAGCGGG